TAGTTAGATTTATTTCTAGGTATTTATTCTTTTTGATGTGATTGTGAATGGAATAGTTTTCTAAATTTCTCTTTCTGGTAGCTCATTGTTAGTGTATAGAAACACAACAGATTTCTGTATATTAATTTTGTATGCTGCAATTTTACTGAATTCATTGATGAGTTCTAATTTTTTTTCAGGGGTGTCTTTAGGATTTTCTATATATAGTATCATGTCATCTGCAAACAGTAACAGTTTTACTTCTTTCTTCCAATCTGGATTCCTTTTATTTCTTTTTCTTTTCAAAGTTCTGTGGCTAAGACTTCCAGTACTAAGTTGAATAAAAGTGGTGAAAGTGGGCGTCCTTATCTTGTTCCTGACCTTAGAGGAAATGCTTTCAGCTTTTCACTATTGAGTATGATGTTACCTGTGGGTTTGTCATATATGGCCTATATTATGTTGAGATTTGTTCCCTCTACATCCACTTTTTTGAGAGTTTTTATCATAAATGGATGTCGAAATTTGTCAAAAGATTTTTCTATATCTATTGAGATTATCATATGATTTTTATTCTTCAATTTGTTGATGTGGTGTTTCACAGTGATCAATTTGCAGATATTGAACTATCCTTGCATGTCTGGCATAAATTCTGCTTGATCATGGTATATGTTCCTTTTAATGCATTGTTGAATTCAATTTGCTAATATTTTGTTAAGGAATTTGCATCTATGTTCATTAGTGATATTGACCTGCAATTCTCTTTTTTGTGGTATCTTTGCCTAGTTTCAGTATCAGGGTGATGTTCACCTTCTGTAATGAGTCTGACCCAGGTCATTTCAAATTCCTACTTCTGCCCTGGATCTCCAAGCATGTGAAATTTTGTGTGTGCCCTTAAGAATGGAGACTTTATTTTCTACAGCCCTCTGTCTCTCATGAAAGTTAGACACACTGGCCTTCCAAGCCAAATGTTCTGGGGGCTCATCTTCCCAGTGCAGGACCCCTGGACTGGGGAGCCCAGTGTGGGGCTTTGACCCCTCACTCTTGAGGGGAACCTCTGCAATTGTAATTATAATCCTGTTTGTGGGTTGCCTATGCAGGGGTATGGATCTTGACTATATGACATCTCTGCGCCTCCTACCCATCTCATTGTAGTTCCTTTTAAAATTAATATCTTTAATTATACAAGATCTTTTCTGCTAGTCTTCAGGTCATTCTCATTGATAGTTGGTCTGTAAATAGGTGTAATTTAGGTGTGCCCATGAAAATAGGTGAAATTGGGATCTTCCTACTCTGCCATCTTGGCCATGCCCCATAAAAGCTGATTTTTTAAAGACCCCCTGGCAACTTGGAAAATACATATGACACATGCTTAACGCTCAGCAGTTCTTATTCAGGGTGTGCACTGAACATGTAAAAACTGAAAATATAGATTCCCAAGTCCTACCCAAGAAGATTATGCCTAAGTTGGACTGGGTGTGGAAGGGCACTGGATTTTGGAAAAACCCTCCAAGTGTATCTTCTACTTACACCCCATATAAAATTCTAAATTAAATGAAAAAAACCTGGATGTCAACAGTCATTTTTTTTTTTTTTTTTTTTTTTTTTTTTTTGTGGTATGCGGGCCTGTCACTGCTGTGGCCTCTCCCGCTGCGGAGCAGAGGCTCCAGACACACAGGCCCAGCGGCCATGGCTCACGGGCCCAGCCGCGCCACGGCATGCGGGATCATCCCGGACCAGGGCAGAAACCCGCATCCCCTGCATCGGCAGGCGGACTCTCAACCACTGCGCCACCAGGGAAGCCCAAAATTAAATACTTTTTTTGTATGTTTTGTTTTGTTTTTGCGGTACGCGGGCCCCTCACTATTGTGGCCTCTCCCATTGCGGAGTACAGGCTCCGGACGTGCAGGCCTAGTGGCCATGGCTCACAGGCCCAGCCGCTCCACGGCATGTGGGATCTTCCCGGACCGGGGCACGAACCCGTGTCCCCTGCA